CCCTCCTCCCAGTCAGTTTCTTTTGTGCTCGGCGAGCATAGCTTTTGGTAGTTGTAGTTGGGTGATAGACTTGACACTGCTTTCTCTTTGATGCTTCTAGGGCAGGTATTTTTATGTCGAGTGTGTGGAGCTGCGTTTCGAAGAAGAACTGGGAGAATACAGCCACAGCTGGCCGTTGTTTGTTTCCCTGCAGCCAACCGTTGGGTTATAACAGAAAGACCTGGTGGAAATGGCTGTGCTGGTCCCAGGCCCAGTGCTCTCTATTGCTCCTCAGCATTCACTCCAGTGGTTCTGATATTATCTCTGCCTGACCCTGGAGCTGGGAGGTGTGCGGAGACAGCAGTGCCCGGCTCGTGTCTCCCCCCACCATCCTGTCTGCCTGTCATTTCTTCTCTCAGGCTTTTGGTCCAGATTGTTTTACATGCCGTGGAAGCAGACAACTTTCAACATAGCTGTTCTCTTTTTTCAGTGTTGCTCATTGTGTGTATTTTTTCTGTACTGTATCTTTATATCATTAAAACCTTTAAATGACAAAATCTTTGTCAGTGAAGTTGGAATTCTCACCTGATGGAAAGATCATGAGCTTCTAGAACTTTGGATTTAGGCCACCTGGACAAGCAAAAACAATAAAAAATTGCGTATGTGTATGACTTTTTCTTTCTGTTCTTTGGGATGGGGACATGCTATGCTGAGTCTATGGTAACCCTGTGGCCATAGCTTGCTAGTGTAACTGTAACGCACGAGGTTGTGTCTGTGGTATAGTTGACAGTGCTGGGTGTGGGTGGTTTTTCCTCACGGCTGGACTACAGATGTATGTCCGTCTCAGGAGTGAGTGAACTTGGAAGGATGTAATAGAGATAGACTCAAGGTCTAGTCCTCTGTAGGCCTGCTTACTGCCTGATCAACACATCGTAGGGTCTTCTTTGGTTTCCTCATTAAATTTGAGGTAAAAAAGAGTGTCCTTCACAACGATGTGGACACTTTTGTGGAAATCTATACAACTCTAGCCTGAAGATGTTTGGACGGGGTTTCTTGTTGTGGGTCCTCCTATCGTACTTTGCTCTCCCTTCGTTGTTTCTGTCCATAAGTTTTGCTTTTTACCTAACACTGTCAATGTTATTGTGTTGATGTGCTTGTTTGTACTTGGGTCTGAACTACTACCAGTGGTAGGTGGTTGGAGGGTTCTCTGGTGTGGTTTGCTCCTTCTTTCCTATGAAACATCTATCGCCCTGACCTTTCCTACTTCTTTTCTGTGTTCGTTACTCTCTGGTAACACTTCTAATCTTCGGCACTTATATGTGAGGCATCGTGGTGAAATCGGGCGCTCGTCAAAATAATGAAAGTGAAAGTGAAAAAACCCAGCATTTTTCCGCCAGTTGGTAATTATTTTCGAATTTATTTTCTTTTTTCGACACCTTTTAATAATTTTATATCTATTATTCATAACACATTTTTGTTTGGATTTTACTGAAAAACGTTAAATAAAGAACTCCCCTCCAAAAATGTAAATTTTCATTTCCCGAGGACTCTCAAGCTATGGAAGTTACCAAACTTTGGCGCCATTTTCTCGATAATTTTACCTCTGAAAATAGGTGACCCTTTCTTCGCTTCAATCTCATATTCAGATATCTCAACTTCTATTCAAGATAGTTGAGAATTTTTTCGCTAAATGGAAAAAAAACACACTCTAACTTTATGTTAAGATGATATAATAAATAACTCTCAAGGCCCAAAAATTATCGACCGCCTGATTCCACCACGCTGCCTCACATATGACCTTATTGTGTTGCAAGTGCTGTAAAACTAATAAAAAATTTTTTTTTTTGAGAACTACCGGTACTAGCCTACTGTTAGTAAATTAAAAGTACATCATGTGTACGTACAGAACAGATAGGGTACTTGAAATATTTTAAAATAATTTTTCAATACTGGATTTATTTATTAGTAATTGGCCATCCTGTCTGTTATTCTATCCTCGTGGTTTTATGCACCTCGTATAATTTAGCAAAATTTGATCATTTTTTGCATAATTTCTGATTATTTTCATTATCATTCTTTGTTAAAATTAAGAGAATCGTATAATTTCACATTTTTGGGCTCAATTGGCACAATTTCAAAATTGTTCTTGCATAAAACGATGGGGACAGGTTATTTAGCATAATAAAAAAAATGGTATATAATAAAGGTGTACTACTCCTACAAGTGCTGCAAATGCCATCCATCTGACTCATGTGGCCAGATTGAAGTAAAAATGATCTAGGACAGATGAACAATGAAACATGAGGGTCTAGTACATGCATCTGGTTCATAATTTATCCCCGAGTCTCTGATCTCTCATCAAGTACGGTGACAAAATTCTTACTTATACACATACTTATATAGCAGGCATTTGGTCAGACATGCTTGGCTCAAACACCTAAAACTAACTAAAGGCCAGGTTACGCGAGTCGAGTTTTACATGTAATGTAACAATAACAACGATGAATTGGACAAAAATTAGATGATGGTAAAAAATTCATGGCGCAGCTTGTCTCTTGGTATCTTGAACTTGAACGGGTGAATCAATGTTCCTTTGGTTTTTCTTGAACCAGAATCAAGAAGAGAAGCCGGTGGTTGATGGGTGGTCTGTTGTGGTTTTGTTTGCTCCTTCTTTCCAACCAAACAAACATGATCAAGTGGAACCTGGTTTCAACAAACTCGGATTCAACGAAAGGAGTTCGATTCCCCGATTTTTTTATTCATAAAAATCAATAATAACTGATTCAATGAACACATAAAGATGAGCAGGCTCAGATTCAACAAAGTCGCTTGCTGGGTGAACAGCTCTATGCTATGCGACCAATCTGTTGCATCCTTCCAAACCAACACGCGCGTTGTTATCGGCATACGTGTGAGTGTGAGTCGTGACATGTCTCTCCCCGTCGTTTTATGCAATAAAAATTCTGAAATTATGCAAGCTGAGCCCAAAAACGTGAAGTTATGCGATTCTGTAAAAATTTCAACAAAGAAGGATAAAAGAAAATAAGAATC